GGAACAAAGGCAAAGAAAGGAATAACATGGGGGCTGTAATCTTTTTCTGTAGGGCTGAAAGTTTAACAAGAATCTTGCTGTCAGTTCTGAAGACTAATCAGCTCAGCCTCTGGTCCTACCTGGGAGCTATTCTCATGGAATTAAGCAGGGCTTGCTTCTAAGTAATGAGTGGTTATTGTGACATTAATCCACACTAGAAATTGTGACAGTAGGGACCCCATCAAAAACCAGGTTAGACACTTTTCAGTTTAGTTAAGCACAAAGCACTTGCGCAACTGCAACGTTTTGGTGTCCACACCTTTACAAAGGAGGAGGATGGGAAGAAAACCAGAACAACATGGCCTCAACTATGTGACTTCCCTGGTCCCACCCATGTGACCTTATAGGCTCCACCTACATGACCTTATTGGCTATAAGCTGGCCCACCAGGTCCAGGGGCTACCAGCCGTCACTGGTCATGATAGGTATCTATTACCTCCAGGATGAGGATATTACCTCTGAATATTCGCTGCTGATGAATAATAGGAGGAGAGGATTGTTACCCTCATAACCTGCTTGTGGGCATGGCTAGAGATGTGCTTATGCAAAGATGGCTCTAGGGAAATTAACATGGTGAGCCACCATTTTAATTTCCCTAGAGTCATCTATACATCTGTAAGCAAGGTTTTCTAAAAAAAAAGAAAGAAAGAAAAGAAATGTTTCTTTTTCTTTTTCTTTTTTTTAATGAGAGGGAATGGTGCAAGAGAGCTTGGCACAAAAGAAGGAGTTGAGCTCCCTGGGCTACCCACTAACAATATCTTTGTTTTCAGGCTTTCTCTAGACATCTGGTTGGCCGCTGTAAGAAAGAGGATGCTGCAATACATAGACCATTGGACTGATCCTTCAGGATTCAACTTATGTTCACTTTCCCCAGGGAACTCTTGAAATTGTAGCAAGGGATTTCATATACAACTTCACCAAGTTGCAGCAATCTTTGAGGGTCGCCATGATCGTTTAAATAGGTACTACAAACTTTTAGCACAGGTATACTCTAAGAGGGTCAAACATAATGTAACAGTGGTTCTGTTGCACTTCTGTCTCACTGTCACCTCTGTTCAAAAAGGCTTTGCATGTTTCTGAAACTTGCAAATGCTGTTTACTGGAGTCACTGGTGTGTTGAATGTACACACTTCTGGCGAGAATGCCTCATGTTATGCTCAATTGTCTGGGGGGGGCGTGATTGACTCTTTCCATGCTTAATATCATGTGGAGAAGGAGTTTTAGCAGATCAGATTCTGAAGGACAACTGAGAAAAGCTGCACTTGCCAAGATTCCCTTTACAGGCACAGCTATTCGAGATTTAGATTCTCCTTTGTTTCTGGTTAACCAGTGTGGCATAGTGGTTAAGAGCGGTAGACTCGTAATCTGGTGAACTGGGTTCACTTCCCTGCTCTTCCACATGCAGCTGCTGGGTGACCTTGGGCTAGTCACACTTCTCTGAAGTCTCTCAGCCCCACTCACCTCACAGAGTGTTTGTTTTGGGGGGAGGAAGGGAAAGGAGATTGTTAGCTGCTTTGAGACTCCTTCGGTTAGTGATAAAGCGGGATATCAAATCCAAACTCCTCCTCTTTTCATCGCATCAGTGAAACACATGGAAACCCAGTATAAACTGCTGGTATAAGATTCAGATGTAATCATATTGGGGAGGGGAAACACGTCTGCAGACTATACTTGGCAAGGCAAGTGGCAGTGAAGATAAAGTCAAAATGCTGAAACATTTTGCAGAAATGGCAAGGCTCTGCTCCAAAATTTGCTAACGTAAATGAAAAACATTTCCATTGACTTAGAAGTTTGAAGTTGCTGGGGAAATAATCTTCAAATTCAGTCTCATTCTCACACTTTCATGTTTATAAATCCAGTTTTGTAAGAGGTACTTGGGCATGCAGTTTCTTGGACAAGATGCCAGCTTGCTTGCTTGCTTGCGCTATTGCCTTTCTTTTCCATCTAGTAATTTATTGTTACCTTCACCAGGTAAACATCTCAGGGTTTCTTTACACCAAGCCGTTTGGATAAATTTCTAATCATCACTGGCACATACACACTGCGGTGGGAACAAGGGTGTTTTAAAGTTAGCAAGAGCATGTGCATACACAGGACCCTAACAGAGGGAGGAGGGAAGGGTGTACGTGGAGCTCTGAAAAATAGAAGCAGCCATGTCTTTTGAGATGAAGCAGCCTGCCCCACAGCTGGTGGGAATGTTTGAATGCAGCCTCCTGCTGAGCAAGCCAGCAGATTTTGAAATATATTTGGCTGCCATTGTGTGCAATGTTGTAGGGGCAAGCACTGAGTTTAAAGCAAAGTGATGAAATGAGTGGTGAATTTTATCTTTGCTCCTGCTTTAAAGAAAGACAGAAAAGAATTATTATGGTAGCTGTGTGTGTGTGTGTGTGTGTGTGTGTGTGTGTTCAGTGCTATCTTTGATTAAAGCACTTTCACAGGAACCTCATTTAGCAAGAGATTTGTTACAGAAATATCAGCAAACAATTAACTTGATAAGATCTATCAAATGTAGGGATAGGCTAAATTTATTCAGGTTAAATCTAGCCAGTCTCAAACTTCGCTCTTCCTACTGAAATGACACCAGCTGTTACACATACACTTACCTTTTCTCATGAAAGAGGAAAGAATATGCTATCAAAACTTCATTAATATTCATCATCGCAATCATCATCAATGTTGTCCTGTTTTTCAAGACCTTCAGACAGCTTTGGCAGGGAGCGGCTAATAATAATTCCCTGTTTAGGGAAGTTTTTAATGTTTGATGCTGTATTGTTTTTAATATTCAGTTGGAAGCCGCCCATAGTGGCTGGGGAAACCCAGCCAGATGGGCGGGCTATAAATAATAAATTATTATTATTATTATTATTATTATTATTATTATTATTATTATTACTACTACGACAATGAAGGATGCTTACAGGTCATTCAATTCATTAGCTCACCAGTGGCCATTTAGATGGGCACCTTAGTGTGGGCGTATGAAGGTGAGATGTAGCCTGAGGTATCTAGAGAAGAAAGCAGTTTATTTCTGGAAACCACCTGAATAGTTTCCAAGAAGATTCCTACCAGCATAAATTGTTTGTGATATTTCAAAGTGTTGATGAAGTGCTTCTGCACCCACAAAATACATGCTCAACATGTATATCTCTCAATCCCAAAAAATAAAAAAAATAAACTGACCCAGTAAAGTTGTCCTGGAATTCTTGATGCTCAGGAAAATGAGCCATGTAAGAACATGGCTATGTATGTTTCTATACAGTCATTCTTAAAACCCATTACATGTTACAGCTTTTTTTTAATATAAAAACCAAAGCATACAAACAAATCTTAACAGCCCAGTAACTGGGAACCTTTGTGAACTGAGTGATTTGCCTATGCCGTTTCTGTCCAGTTAATGATCAATAAAGACACCTGGGACATATGTACCTAATTTCAGATTCTTAGTAAGAAATGAAATCTAAGATGATTTCAACATAATAATAACAATGGCAATGTACACATGACACCAACACCTGGAGAAAATCTGAAGAGATCAATATGTGTCTACATAACATGAGATGGTAGATGATGATAGATAGATGATAGATAGATAGATAGATAGATAGATAGATAGATAGATAGATAGATGATAGATAGATAGATGATAGATAGATAGATAGATAGATGATAGATAGATAGATAGATAGATAGATAGATAGATAGATAGATAGATAGATAGATAGATAGATATCAGTATACATTTGCATAGCTGGAGAGAAAGGGGTTCATAGCATTTACTCCACAGGGGCAGCTGTTCTGTGACACAGTGTTAAAGGGAAAGGGGAAAAGGCAGGCAAGCAGGTTATCAGGCATTTGTGGACATCTCCTCTTTATACAGATGGCCCATTTTTAAGGTCATGCCTTTGCTTTCCATCTTGGAGGGGCTGGAAGATTCAGTTGTGTAGTGGAAGAGGGAGCATGGAAAAGTGTAGCTCCAGGGCCAGGGCCAGTGCACCCATGAAGCAAGCAGTTCCCTCAGGCAGCTGATCCAGCTTTCTTTGTGCCTGCCCACTTGCCATTGGGCCCACCTCCTTCACCCATGGCTGTGTACATAGCAGTGGGTGGCAGCACAGGAAGGGACCAGGCACAGGAGGAGGCAGCTACTGCCATGGCCAGGTGCAGAGGAGGTGGCCATGAGTCCATGACTGCAGTGGGCAGTAACTTCTGGGCATGGAAGCAGAGACGGAGGGGAGCCATATTTTCTGTTGTGCCTGAAGCATCAAAACATCACAGGCCAGCCCTGTCCAGGGACTTTTACCAGAGCTGGTGTAATGATGTCTTATGCTGGAGTGCCAGGGAAATTTGATAGTCCTTCCTTCCTCCGGCAAGTGAATGAGTTGCTGGGGAGGCTTTCCTTTTCTGACAGACTTGCATAGAGGAAGTTAGAAAAGGAGAGAATTATTCAAGCAGAGGTTGGATACTTTCTCTCTCTTTTTGGTGGGGTTCCTGCTTCATCCTATCAGTTTAAACGATAACCCTTCTTTCTTGAGATTCTTTGCAATTTCAAATGGAAAGCTAAAGGTTGCATTTCAGCTGACTGAAGATCTTTTGTTGAAGCTCAATATGTTTCCTTCAAGCTGAACTTATGCAGTCAGAAGTGAGCACTATTGAGTTCAATGGCACTTATGCTACGTATTGCAGTCATGCTGATCCTAACATGGTATTATTGGGCATTATACTTTGTACAGCTGCTTTGTGGTATATATCAGTGGATCCACACACCTGCCTGCATTGTTGGGTTCATTGCTGCAGGACAAGGTCATTGCTTTGCCTGGGGTCCTTTGTGCCAAATCCTACATCTCCTGACCCTTCTTCTTCCCTTTACAGTGCGGCCAGATGCACTCCGGATGAGGCCCAGCCACCCACATATTCATTTGCCAGAGCCAGTGATGCATATAAATCAGCATGTGCTTCCCCCCCCCCCAGATTTGTTCCAAAAGATCAAGCAATGCCCCTGCTGCTGGGACCTGTCATGATGAGCTCCTGTGCTTCATAATTTCCCACTACACCACTGGAGAGAATAAAGGGATTTGGAGCAAGTTGTCTGCATGTGAAAGATTGAAGGGAAGAGAAGAAGACTCCAGGAGACAATGCTGATGGTGGTTTTCTTTTTATTTTTCTCTTAGTGAGAAAGCACATAAAAACCTAAGGAAAGCCCTGCTGGATCAGGCCAAAGGCCCATCTAGTCTAACATCCTGTTCTCATAGTGGCTAATCAGTTGCCGATGGGAAGCCTACAAAGCCTCTTCTTCATCTTCTGAAGGTGCTTCACATCTTAAGACATGAGTGAGTAAAGGCAAGGTTGGGAAATGGCCTTCAATGCCCTCCTAAGTATGGGGGAGAGAACACTGGATAAATTCAGCAGCATTTAGGCCGTCTGCTGCTGATATAGCTTCGCCGCAAGGAGAAAGAAAAAGTTGCTTTTTGTCATGGTGAGCAAAAGCCATCTATATGTTTGCAATCAACAGAGTATTACCAATCGGCTCTTTGGCAAATGTTATGTTGGGCCATTGAGACTAGGTTTACCCAGAGTAAACTATTTCAATTAATGAATACAGCTACATTAGGTCCATTAACTTCAATAGATCTACTCTGAACAAAAGTTAGGTGACCACTGTTCATAATCTAACCTAGAATCATAGAATCATAGAGTTGGAAGAGACCACAAGGGCCATCAAGTCCAACCCCCTGCCAAGCAGGAAACACCATCAGAGCACTCCTGACATATGGTTGTCAAGCCTCTGCTTAAAGACCTCCAAAGAAGGAGACTCCACCACACTCCTTGGCAGCAAATTCCACTGTCGAACAGCTCTTACTGTCAGGAAGTTCTTCCTAATGTTTAGGTGGAATCTTCTTTCTTGTAGTTTGGATCCATTGCTCCGTGTCCGCTTCTCTGGAGCAGCAGAAAACAACCTTTCTCCCTCCTCTATATGACATCCTTTTATATATTTGAACATGGCTATCATATCACCCCTTAACCTCCTCTTCTCCAGGCTAAACATGCCCAGCTCCCTTAGCCGTTCCTCATAAGGCATCGTTTCCAGACCTTTGACCTGCATGTAAGCTTTTTGTACAAGTGAATCAGGATGAATGCTCAATAAACAGATTGTCTGGACATACCCATAGGTAAAGGGACGCCTGACTATTAGGTCCAGTTGCAGACAACTCTGGGGTTGTGGCACTCATCTTGCTTTACTGGCCGAGGGAGCTGGCGTACAGCTTCCGGGTCATGTGGCCAGCATGACTAAGCTCCTTCTGGCAAACCAGAGCAGTGCACAGAAACGCCGTTTACCTTCCTGCTGGAGCGGTACCTATTTACTTGTACTTTGACGTGCTTTCAAACTGCTAGGTTGGCAGGAGCAGGGACCGAGCAATGGGAGATCACCCCATCGCAGGGATTTGAGCAGCCAACCTTCTGATCAGCAAGCCCAAGCTCTGTGGTTTAACCCATAACGCCACCCATACATACCCATAGACACTCCTAATTTTCTCTTGCTTTTTGGCTCATAAATCAACCCTTATACCTATGCATTAGGAGGAGATGGTCTCTCCAGCAAACGGCCTTTCTCATTTTCCTACCAGAATAATTTCTCAAGTATCATTCAAGCTACTTGAAGGAATCAGGCATAGGTTGCATTCTGTTTTGCTTCACCCACAACCTTACCAGAGGTTCCTGGTGACCTTGGCTTTCAGCTCTGTTCTTTGCTTTTGCCTAGACAGATAGCTGCTATCTGGCATACCAGCCTACTCCAACCCTGCAAACCTCTCTGTCCTGTTCCACCTGCCCTATCACCAACTCCCACCTTTCTGCACCCTCCATATTCTTAAGCATTGGTCGCATTGGCCTCTTTGGCTGTTGTGGACATGCTTGTCCTATACACAGTAATCCGATTATATACAATTCCTGAGTACTTCCTCAAAAGTCCCAACATTAACAGAGAACTGTAGTTGGCATATGCTAAAAGTCTTGATTCTTGAGTTCCCGTCACAGCTCAAGACACACTTACAACACTGTTTTGACAAGTCTGTTCATTACTTGGGTGTAGACAGTGTGATATGGGCTTGATTCATTGGCATCTCTGATACTTGTATTTTTCTTCTTCGTTAGGTGGACTAATAAATTAATATGGGGAAATAGCATGGCAAGAAAGGTGAAGCTTGCCCTATCCCAGAACAGCTGCTGCAGTTGAATTTTGGGCAATATCTTATTTCAGGGCGCAGTCAAATGTCATGGAATCTGATCATAGACCCTATGAGGTATAGTTTGGGCCATAGGATCATAGACCCTCTTATATGAGGTATAGTTTGTGCCACAGTGAGAAGCATAAAACCCAGCCTCGGCATGTTTTAAACTGAACAAACTCAGCTGAGCAAGGAGGGGAACTCACATGAGTGGAGTACTAATCAGGGCAAGCATTTATTTTGCATGTCTGATCTTTAAAATATTTTAAAATCTATCTGAGAAAATATACACCCTTGACATTCAAAGGAGGGCAGGGAAATCTGAAAGGAGAGGGAAATATTTACATGAGATTTGTGCAACATGGCGAGTCCCGTGAAAATGCTAGCCACCTTGAGCCTATGGGCAGAGGGAGCGAGGATATAAACTGAAATAAATAAATAAAACACATCCCTTCTATCTTCAAGCAGCGTACACAAAGGCCACAGTTAAAAAGACTCCCGTGGAATACTGATGGGATGGAACAAGCAAGTCTCTGGTAGAAGAAGGACCCCTTGTGGTGTGAAAGAAAAACAGAATGAATTGAATACACGCCAGAAAGCAGCTTCTGGCCTGATTTGCTCATGGGGTGAAGATTAAACACTTTGAGAGGTAAATACAGCAGAACGTCGCCTCACACTGTTAACGTGATGCTTATGTTGGAGGTGGCCAAGAGCACAATGTATATGGTTACTTGGAAGTCCCACTGTGCTCAGTGGTGCCGACTCTCAGGTAAGTGTAAACAGACTTGCAACCTTAGAAAGGATATGCAAGCAGGACTATGAAATGTCAGAAGGTTCACTTTGCTTACTCCACTGAGATGGCTGTTGAGCATCTGAGGCTTATGTATGTGGTACACAGTGTTTGCGTGTGTCTGTGTGTGTGGTGGGGCTCATTATATCTTTAAAGAGAGAGCTGAGACCTATTTACTCCTTTGCTTAATGTAACACCTGTAACTTGAATATTTGATTTCACTGACAATAATGGGTTAGATGTATGTATGGACATACACTTGGAAATCAAGCTACACTGTCTAATGGCAGTTGATTGATATTTTGTGCATGCTGTGTAAAATATTAATCAAGCAATGAATAGTAAATACTGTCTTATTTGCTAACAAGCAAAAGAGGAAAGTGCAAACAACCACTGTAGCGTGGATAATTAATCAAAAGATGGATCTCAGTTGCCATACTCTTGAAACTCTCCCATTTAGTCACATGATGTATGTTAGCTCAGGCCTTTCATATGACATACATTTTGATGTGACTTTTGAAACAAGAGTATTTTATTTAAAACTACAGTGGTACCTCGGAAGTCGAACGGACTCTGTTCCAGAAGTCTATTCCACTTCCAAAATGTTCGGAAACCAAAGCATGGCTTCCAATTGGCTGCAGGAAGTTCCTGCAGCCAATCAGAAGCTGTGTCTAGTGTTTGGGTTCCAAAGAACGTTCGCAAACCAGAACAGTCACTTCTGGGTTTGCGATGTTTGGGAGCCAAAACGTTTGACTCGCAAGGCATTCAGGATACAAGGTAAGACTGTAATGGCAAACGATTGATGGTCTATCATCTTCTTGATACTCAATGGGTTTTCAGCAGGGTGGTACACCAGATTGAATCCTAATCCAAATTGGGCCAAGGATCAGAGCAGGATCTGGGCCTCAGTTCGGTTGGGTTGAAACAGCTTTGGATCACTACTTGTTGAGTAGGCCTGGGTCATAGGGCTGTCAGAGAGCAGGGCATCAGGAAGGAATGAGAGGAAGGCAGGAGCAAGAAAAAGGAGAGACCATGAAAAGGAGAGACCTACTGAATCAGTCTGATCCGGTGGATCAGGGTGGCCCTAATTTTCAGGTGCCTCCACGGAGGGGAGCTAGATGCAGTATATCTATTGAATGTCTAAGAAGGCTAATTCTTTCATTAGGCTTTGCACCTTTTTTGCCAGCTTTCACTGCATATTCTTTGTCTTTAGGACATATTATACAGTTTCTTCACTTCTGTCATTAAAATCTTTCTCGCTTTCTCGCGCTCTCTCACACCGAGAGAAAGGTCAAAAACACTTCGCTGGAGATGGGTTTTCCATTTTATTGTCTACGAGGTTGCTAGTCGTGGTGTATATAAATAAAATATCTACGTAGGGTCTGCTAGCTGCCTTGTTGATTTGGTTGCATTTAGGGCCTGTTTATTTCTTCCTCTCATTCTACACTGGGGAGAGAAAGAAAGGGAAGGAAAGAACTGGAACATTAAAAATAAAAAACAAGCTGCTATTTGATACACTTCCTTTGCATTAAAACTGCATCAGGCTTCTGACTTGCTTTTAACAGCATCCACGCCCTGCTTCTGGGAGTGAGGCGTTGGCATCTCTTGTGAGCCATTAGATTTACACTTGCCGACGTTGTTCTTTGAAAATTTGAGAGTTCTGCTCAGTGAGCAGGGTCTCAGGTGGCTTGCAAGAAATAAGGCTGGCTCCCATCTTTCCATTTGGGAGTCAGTGTTCCTGTGGGGATTAAAGTCCCCTGTAGATGACCAGCTTGGCATGTGCAAGCAGCAAATCACCACCACTTATTCTGTTCTTGCTGCAGACGCGTAACAAGCTTCCACATATTGTGATGTTGATAGTCAGAGACACGCAGGTGACCACACATTTCACTTTCCTGTCAGAGAAAATCTACTATAAACTGTCCCTGTCACCCCCATAGGGACATGTCATTGTTATTTTCCCCTTAGGACTCAAGGCACACACTTAAGATCACCTAACGCAAGCTTGTTTACTCCACTTAATACTCTTTAATGGACTGCATTCACTGTTTTGCAAAGGAACACTTTTTCTACTCTTTTCAGGGCTCATCCACACCATGCATAGAAAGCATGGGTCTGGGCAGTTTTTTATTCTGCCCTGCTCCTTTCCAGGGGAAAATCCGCTCTTTAGCGATAGATCAAAACAAATGGCAATCCGGAGAAAAACTGAATTGCCATTTGCTCCTATTAAGCACTAAAGAGCAGTTTTCCCCAGGGGAAAGTAGCAGAACAAGAGGAAGTGTAAATAAGCCCTCAGTGCGTACCTAGGGATGAAAGTGGGGGTGGGGTTCATATTCGCTTTAGCAATTGCAACAGGAAAGAGATTAGTTCTTCCAAATGAATGCATGTGAGCAGCAGTACAAGTTTGGTATATAGACACCTCAGGATGTCTCATAGCTGAATGGAATATGGAAGTGCTACAGCTTCTAGCACAACCTGGTCAGCACACATTTTCTAGCCAGAAATCCATTGAGAGGTATTGGGGCCCTTGATTGCAAAACAGTGAAACTGCCTGTTCCTTAACACGCTTGTAGACTTCATTTGGCCAGATAGGTAGCAATGTGCTATTATCATGAGTATGTGAGGTGTTCAGACATTGGTAACCACAAGTACTTTCTTAGACTGCTACCCTAAGCTCTACTTTATGTACAGCAGGGAGGGGGAACATGTGGCCATGCAGATATTTGGGGCCATGCTGATGGAAGTTGGAATCCAGTAAGATTTGGAGGCCTGCAAGTCTCCTGTCACTGCTGTACAGAGTGCCTTACCACTGGCCACTTTCACTTGACTTTAGTTTGTACTCAAATTTAGCCTGTCCCCTGCCTAGTTTGGTTGCAACTGCTTTCCTCAGACAGGACTCTAGACACTAGATGCAACATGGCCATGCATTTGATGATACACGTCCCAGTACCATAATTGATATTTTCTTGTTTTGGCTCACTGACAATACTCAGAGCATCTGTTCTCGATTCCATATATAGAAGAATACCTGATCAAAGGAAGTTGTTTTATTTCTTCCCTTCCTTAGAAAGTGCAGTATTAGGACTCTTGATGATCAATGAGATTAAACTCCTAAGGAAAGCCAGTGCTATAAATTCTTAAAGTGTGGAATGGCTGCTATATCAGCAGGAGAGGG